TTTTACTGACGCGTGTGCATCTTTCTGACTGACGCCTTGGTTCACACACTTGCCTTGGTTCACACACTTGCGTGTGTGAACAGTTTTTTTTTGTCCCAAAACAAGCAATCCTAGTTACATGTCACACTGCCTAAAAAATCCGTCCCCCTTAAAAAAAAAAAAAAGTTAACAATAATATTTGTGAAATTATTACTATGTTGACATTAATAATAACCCTGAGACGAAGGAAAAATAAAAAAAAACGGACAGTACAACGAAGTAGAGACTTCGTTGTACTGTCCGTTTTTTTATTTTTCCTTCGTCTCAGGGTTATTATGGATACCATTCACCAGCTCGCCTGTGTTTTGTACCTTTCTTCGTTTACATTAATGTTCGCGCAATCATGTTGAAAAGGGGCATTATTTTTAACTATTCCAACTATCGTTTGTTGCAACTCAAGAAGGTACCCGCGCTTTTCAGTGCCGCGACGTCACTGGCAGGCAGGCTTGCAGGTGGAGCAAGCAGTCGAAAGTTACTAGTCGCACGATTGACATGTTGATTACCCTTTTGGTAACGTCGAGTTATCATTGGCGCGCTCGACTTTACCTGAATTGACGCTTTGTTTACTATTTCTCATTACTTCGACTTGTTATTCATACAGTTCAGATGATACAAGTGTAATTGCAATTTTTGATTACTCTTTTTAATACATCTCGCTGTTATTGACACCGCTTACTTAAAATGGGTTTCGTTATAATTACTTCGACCTATGATTAACACAATTTACACAAGAAAAGTTCAACAACCATTTTTGTTACTCTTGCTTAGTTCGATAAATTATTGACAAAAATATAACTTCATAGAAGGTCATTTTGACATTCTGATTACTTTTCGGTTATATAGGTATTATTGAGACGAACAACTTTATAGAAGCAACATTTTCCGTCGATTACTTCGAAATATTATTGGCAAATGCGGCTACATAAAAGTTCAATTAATTTTTGGATTAATCTTTCGATTACTCCGTGTTATTATTCACCGAATTGATTTGAAATTGACTTAATTAACTTAGCTGCTACTTTTTTTATACTTCCTCCACATAATCCTCACTTTCATTATTACTGTGAGCTTTTATACAACCAAGTGATTTATCTCTGCTCAGTTACCATTATAACCACTATCTTCCTTACTTCAACTTGCTATTGACCCAATCGAGTAAGATTCTACCTAATTGACATCATGATGACTATTTACATTACTTCGAGAAAAAAGTGGAATTAACCGATTTATTATCGGCACGAGTCACATTATGGTTACTCTTTGCATTACTGCGAGTTACTATTAATGCCCCATCTATGTCCTTTAAAAAAATTTTTTTGCAGTGTTCTTTTAAGCTTTCTGTTCGACGTTTGGCCTGGAAACGATGAGATACAAGCTTCCCTGCGTAATGCGAGAGCATTGACCACTGGACAGCACCGTAGCTGTCGTTGTGATGCGAGTTCTGCCTCCTCTTTCTTGCGAGAAGCCCGAAGCCTGAACAGTGAATGGTCGCTCAATGCACATTATTAGATTAGTTTCCATCGATCGTGACCCCAAAAGCACTGCGACATTAATTCGTTTTCCCAAAAGAACCTTTACGATAAACCCCCTTTGCTAGATTTCTTCTTCTTTTTTTTTTTGTTATTAAAACTATTGGAGCTATGCCTATATGAACGAGTCCCAACGTACGAAACATTTTACTGACGCGTGTGCATCTTTCTGACTGACGCCTTGGTTCACACACTTGCCTTGGTTCACACACTTGCGTGTGTGAACAGTTTTTTTTTTTGTCCCAAAACAAGCAATCCTAGTTACATGTCACACTGCCTAAAAAATCCGTCCCCCTTAAAAAAAAAAAAAAAAGGAAAATGCGCAAATTTTATGCGCCGGAACAACTTCGGCGCTTGTCGCGCAAGATTATACTCCTCCCTCAGCCTCATTGCCACCGCCCACCGTTCTTCCGCGATGCCAATTAAATAGTCCACCACATGGCTACCACCTTTATTGGATGGTTGTTCCGCGGAGCGATTCGACGCTGCGGCTTGTGTGTGGATTGTGAAAGGAAAAGGGATTGCTTTTGTTTCTCTGAGGAGCAAATATTGAATGGACTATTTCCCACAGCGCGTGTAGGATGCGCAAAATTTGCTACTTTTGCGAGGCGACGACGACTATGGATCACTCTATTTCGGAGTGCTTGTCCGGCAAACAATGCGATTTGATTTGATAATTTGCATCAGACACTCTCAGTTCATGATACTAAAGGTGTGTGGAAAAAGCCGTCACAATGGACAACTTGACGAAGGCTCGCATGCCCCCGCATCGGTGTTTGTGCAGCACAGGCAAAAGAACAGAAACCACATGCAGTTCAGTCAGACTTATTCCAAACCTCGAAGCGCCTCGTCGTGGCGTAGGGCCACGTTATGCATTGTGGGAAACAGTGGGAAGAAAAATTCCTACGGCTCCTGGCCCACAGGTTCCCAGAGTGCAACGCGCGCCTGTGACGGGATTTCTAGTCTAGAAACTTCGTTTCTAGTCTAGAACGTTATATGCGGTATATCGTTATAGGTGGTATCGTTATAAGTGGATTGCACTGTATGACAACCTGTTAAGGTGTGTGGTTGGGAACAGACATTTGATTGAGCCCACACAACGTGACCGTCACGACAGAAAAGGTCGTCCTTATACGTGTGTTTACGACTCGTAAAACATCGTTACGTGGATCGGCGGGTGGGCGGGTGCACGCACCCAAGGCCGCGAGCCGCCATTGACGGTGTCCCTACCATTCGGCGCCGCCGTCCCTTCCTCACCGCGGGAGGGGGACGCGCACCGTCTGATGGACTCCCTCCGGGCCCATTGTTCGTGGCGGAGGCCGGGCTGGAACACCCCGCGCGACACCCACCGCGGCACCGCGACAAACAACAACAGCAAGCGCCACGACAATGGATCGCCGCGTCGCGCTGGGCTCCGGGCGCTTAGCGGCAGCACAATGCCACCTGTTGATTACCGACGTGTCACAAACAGGCTAGCGTCTTTGGTTGACGTGGGACGCTTTGCTTCCCCTCTTTCTTTTTGTCTTTGAGTTGCCCTTTCCTTGTCTTGTTGACGCTGAACTGCCCAGCCGTTGCGATCTGGTTCGTAGCCCCCTATCGTACGCGCATTCAGAAACGACTTTATACATGCTTAGGGTCAGGGACTGATTTAAAAGTGGGGAGGGGGCGCCCCCCCCCCCCTTCCGCCCCCCCCCCCCTTCCCCCAAAGGCCTTTAATAACGCTTGTTTTATAAAAAAAAAAAAAAAAGACATACATTAGTTTCCTGGAGTTTGATGTTTGCGGTTTAAACCGGTCAAAAACAGACAAACGCGTGCCAAACTCTTGCGACCGCTTTAAACTGGGTTCCTTATTAAAACGAGAGGATACACTGGCGCCATCTATTGGGTAGCAGTGTAAACGTGGCGGTCCCGCATATTTTCTATTTCTTTCGAGCATTATCCTTTCTTTCTTGGCTCGAAAAAACTTTTGTCAACTTTATAAACGAGCCTTTCTTATAGGTGTTACGCACATTTGACTTCGGAAATATCTCGAAACCTTCGCCCTTGTGAAAGGCAGTTCCAGGGTCACCGGATAGATGGCGCCAGTGTGGCAGTGTGTTCTCTCGTCCTAAGAAATTTTAAGAGGTTTTAACAAGTCTCGGTGTCTCTCAGTCGTACTCGGTTGCAAGAGTGTGAACGGGCCTTTAAGAGAGCTGTGTGAAACAGCTGATGGGTGTTTGGGGAGGGCGAAGTGGGTGGGGGTGTCGTTATTGGGTGGACCTTGTGACGTACTTCTTTATGGGACTGCCAGCTACCTTATAGGGATGGTCCTACGCGGAGTGCAAGTTCGTCTGCCTTTTTTGCAAGGGTTGCTGTTACTTAAGTACGCCGAGCTTTGATTGAAGGATAGTGGGTAGACCTCGAAGTAAAGGCCCGTTCACACTCTTGCGACCGAGTACGACTGAGAGAGACGAGATCTCTTACAACTTCTTAAATGTTTCTAGAATGAGGGAACACACTGATATTGTGGCGCCATCTATGCGGTGACCCTAGAACTGCATTTCGCAAAAGCGAAGGTTTTGCGGGATTTCCGATGTCAAATGTGCGTAATACCCATAGAAAGGCTCGTTTATAACATTGACAAACGTTTTTCGAGCCAAAAAAGAAAGGATATTGCGCGAGAAATAAAAAAAAAATATGCCGGACCGCCGAGTTTACACTGCTTCCCAATAGATGGCGCCAGTGTGTTCTCTGGTTTAAGAAGTTTTAAGGAACCCAGGTTTAAGAGGTCGCAAGCAGTCGCAAAAGTGTGAACGGGCCTTAAGCTGCCTTGAGGTCTACTCACTATCCTTCAATCAGAGCCAATAAGAGCTCGGCGTTCGGAGGTGTCATCACAACCCTTGCAAAAGAAGCAGACGAACTTGCTTTCCGCATACGTTCTGCATGGAAGGACTTAGCACGTGAACAGTTTTGTTGGAGGTTCAATGGTTTATTGACTTTAGTGATCAGGTTTCGTGTGCTATGTTTTGCATTGTTTTCATAATCCCAAATGTCCGATCGCTTCTCGATCTGTGGGGGCATTATCAAGGTTTGTGTCAGAGTTAATGACGAAACTCAAGCGTTGAGACCATGCACAGTTTCGTGACAACACGAAGTGTGCAGTCTTTCAATTCAAAACGTGATATATGTTCGTTCGTTTTTTCACCCGCATTTGATTGATTGCTTATATTTAGCTGTAATATACGGAACCTCGACATCTTTCCAGTTTCAACTGTAGGTGCACCGCCACTCGTGCGCTAGAGGATCATCGAGCGGCTGTTGGTGCGTTTTTGAAACTAAAACTTTGGCATACCGCATATAAAACTTCCGTATAGAGCGTTTTGGGAAAGAAAGAAAGAAATAAAAAGTAAAACGCAACTTTGTTACATATTTTCTTTTTTTTTTTCTTTTTAGGAGAGCCGGAAAAAGCAGCGAAACAAATCGTCGGGAATCTCAGTCCGACTCCCCAACCGTTTCGCTTCAGGTAATTATTCTGGCTTCACCCGCAAGCTGCAGTACCTCGGTCGCTGAGAGTTATCTCGATATGGTCGTGGTTGCCTTCTTTTCCTTTCTTTTCTTTTTTTATGGGGTCGTGGTTATCTTTTGGGTGGCGGCAGTCGGCATGTCAAAGATAGATAGGACCGCGCGCCGAGGATGCAAACGAAGGAGGCTTGCACGCGGAGTCGATCTGCGTATTGCCAGCGTCGCTGAAGTATCACGTTGCAAACATCTGCGCTAGATACCTCGCGAGGGAACACGCGTAAAAATAAAAAAAAAACTTGCCATATACACAATCTGCGTGCGCTATCTGCGCGAGCGCCGCATTAGTAAACAAACCCAGCTGTAGCAGGCTGATGGCAGGAGGGGTGGAGTCAAAGGGAGTGTGCAGTGTGCATGCGAGCTGATTTTGTATACAGGCACTGTAAGTCTAAAGCTTTAGGGTTTTTTTGTTATTTTACAATATATTACGTTTACAGTGTATGTAACAGGCCGATCCAGAGGAGCCACCCTACACGCTCATGACAGTCATTTTTTTGTGCGTCCCTACTAACACAGGTGCACCTAAAAACAAATGTGACGTTCGTGTTTAGACAGCCAAAGGTCGGTCTGCCTTTGAGTTATGGCAACACTGGCTTACACTGTAGATAAGAAATATAGCAGTGCAGTACTACGAGTGCCAGTCAGTGCAGTCTTTAACGCGCATCACGCGGTAGTTACTGCCACTAAATAAGCTACGCTTCCGAGTAACGACACTTGGCCATATTGTGGCTTAAAATAACGGTTGGCAGTTATCTGAAGCTTTATCTGAAATCACAGGAAACGCTTTTCCGTCCTCCACAAATGTTTAAACAGCTCGCGACAGAGCAAAGCGATATTACACGAGCTTCCCAACACCGAATCTAATGCTGAGGAAGTCGCACTTTTGAATCATGACGATCGGCAGCTGCGTCTGCTGCGCACTAGCACCAAAATGGCGGCGCCCACAGCAATGTCGGGGAATGGAGTGTCGATACCTCTGATCTCTACTATAGGGGGCTCGATGGTGCTTAGTTGCTCTCCGAGTCTGGCGCAAGTGAAGCCACCGGAAGTTCGATGCTTGTCCCGGAAGTTGGGCGTGCGCTGAGCGTCCTAGTGCATTCAGTCGACATTTCGGTCAATGCTTTTTTGCGTCTTTGATTGGGTTAAAATACCCCCGTTCTGGACTAAATCCCGAGAATGAGGCATTTGAACTTGGGACATATTCACACTCGATCAACTAAAATCTCAAAATGTTTACATTGAATGGCTTCTCATGATACTTCTCGGGTCTGCATGCGTTCTTACTTCGCAACAGACAGGCTCTCTTGAGGGAACAAGCGAAAATCCAGCGCCTTGGACACTTTTCGAACCAGCACTCGGAAGGGTTACAAAGCCTGCCAAGCGCTCACTTCCGGGACAAGCCGCTTACTTCCGGTTGCTTCACACCTGTTTGCTCAATGCGCCATCCAGTCCCCTCTAGTGGAGATCAGTGGCCGATACTCTAAGCGCAGCTCATTTTGTGGCTCTAGCGGTAGTGACACACTACCGCACGCCGGCACGAGGCTCATCCAGATTGAAACGGTCCAGGGTGGGATTGAACTCAGGATCTGCAAGTTCTACAGCAAAGCGATACAATCGGCCACCGATTGCACGTGAGCTCACGTATCCACGTATACGATGTTTAATGAGTTGAGTCTAACAGCCCCTCCAGAACCTCCTACGCGTGGTACGCACATTTATGATACAACACACACACACACACACACACACGCACACACACACGCACACGCACACGCACACGCACACGCACACGCACACGCACACGCACACACACACACACACACACACACACACACACACACACACACACACACACACACACACACACGCCTCGGAACACCTCGGAACACCTCGGAACACCCGCAGAAATGTTTAACGGGCCCGAGCCTGACAATTTTGGGTGAACCCTACAATCACCTAGATCGGGGGTCTCCCGGAAAATAAACGAGTAAATGCAAATAAGGAAACACCGAACAAATATCCTAGATAATCATTTAAGTTCAAAATTAAAACTTTGAGTAACTATAAACAAATAATCCAATCATGAATGCATATAGTTTATACTAGAATTTAATATTTAGCTAAGTATGACATTACGCAATGCCTGGGACCCAGAAAACTCATGAATCAAAGCGCCTAAGAACTTTGACATCCTCACAAAAGGCAGAAGCACAACACTAATGAGAGTGGTAGCACTCGTGCTGACAAATGTGCAATGTTACGACATCGGACATTAAGTACAATATACACGAGAACTCAAAGGAAGCGCAGCGTACGTATAGTTGTACAGATAAGGATGGGGTGGCTAAGAAGCTTTTGTAAGCTATGTGCGAAACAACATTTCTCAGCCAATCGGTGCTGCTCGTATCTATAGAGCGCACATGAGCTGAGCCCACGACTGGACTTCGCGTTTCTGTTTATTAAAAGTCGTTCTACGTTGGGCCGCTTTCACGTGAGAGCGTTTTTCCGTTGTCACGGACAACGTAGGGCGGGGCGTTAATTCCCGCTTCGTGATTGTTTCTTTGGTATTCTTATCAGCTTATGTCGTGTTCTGATTGGCTGGGAGGGCGATCGTAATTAACAAGCTCGAGGGTCTCCGCGCTCTGCTCTTCTCCAGTTAATTGTCCGCGACTGTGATAAGGTAGGGCACGGTGTTTCCCGCAGCCAATGCGAGCCTTCGGTGAGTTTAATCGTCACCGGTGTCATGGTGGCTCTGTCGCGCATGCGTATGAGAGAGATAGATGCACGCGGAAGAGTCAGTGAGGCTCATACGAAAGTGTTCCCTCTTCCATATATATATATTATAGACGCATCCTCGTGGACGTCACTCGCAAAGAGTAACCGATTACAATTACTCTCGCTTAAAAAAAAAGTATTCATGTAGATTACTTGATCACTCGAGACAAAAAGTAGTTGGCCTTTAATTGAAGAAAAAAAAATTAAACATTGTTTTTCGATTTCTTCGGAGTTTTAAAAGGACAGCTTTTTCTGCCGGTTTGAAAACGGGTCTTTCGTGCTATCCATTATTGGATTAGAATCATCGAAGTATGAATTACTCATTTTCTTAAGCCACCAATTTGGGTAAGCCACCCTCCCGTCTGAGGCTTAATGCTTTGGTAGGAAACTTGCGGCACAGAGGGCGCCATTAGAAAGAAGGGAGAGAAAACTAGTAACTGTTACAAGTAATTTTATTACTTCCAAAATACTATCCTGATTAATTTCTAATAAATACGATCAAACGACCTCAAAATTACTTATCTAATCGTATACGGGTAATTTGATTACTTGTTACGAGTATTGTATAGGTATATAATACGCAACACGTTTCTTCGCCGTACCAAAATAAAAATAAAAATATTGATAAAAATAAATGCGTCTTAATCCCATTCCTACGTATACAATCGGGAGTCAGCATGCAAATACGTGTTTTCAGCTGCGCTGTTTGCTAATTTTTGCTCAATTTACCGGGACGCAAGTGACGTCACCTGACGCTATCGCGGGGTGACCATGCTCCGCGTAAAAAAAAAAAAAAATTGAATTAAAAGAACAAAAAAAAAATAATAAACACTCTGGATGGGACACGCGTGTCATAAAAATTAACTTTACGCGAAAAAAACATTTAGTGCAATATTGACGGCGCGAGATTTATTTCAAATTTTTCGCGTCAAATCTTGACGTCACGGAATGGTCTCACACTCTTGCCACCTCAATCAACGTTAAGGCGAAGCCGATCCACTTCTCCTCCACGTGCCCGAAATGCCGAGAGAGAAAAATGGTGAAAAGGAAGTAAGCCCCCCCCCCCCCCCCCCCCCCCTCCTGCCGTCTAAATCGCCTATCGCGCTGTTGAAATTTGCTATACATTTTCCGCAATTCATTGATCCGCGTTTTGATCGTTAAAGTATTAAGCACATCCATGCTCGCTCCCTCGCAATAATACTCCTTGCGGGCCCTCGATTAAGATGAATGAATGAATGAATGAATGATTGAATGAATGAATGAATGATTGAATGAATGATTATGATGATGTACGAAGAACTACCCGTGAATCAGACGAACATTGGAGACGCGAAAATTGTTTTACGCTATTTTTCAGAAGCATATCGTACGTATTGACACTGACAGCTGCCACTTTCTTTCTAGACTTCACCTACCGGGCATTTTTAAAGGTAAAATGTATCGAAATTAGCTATAAGTGACTGAAATTTGTTGTTTTTAAAGTAACTAAAGCCCCCCCAAGCGACGCAGTGGAGCGTCAATAGCTGAAGTTTAGTTTTTTGTGTGTGTGCGTGTGTGGATGTGCGTGCGTGTTTGCGTGCTTGCGCGTGATAAATAAATAAATAAATATATATATATATATATATATATATATATATATATAGTTTTTGTTTTGTTTCAGAATTTTGATTTTTGTTTCATATTCGAGTGGTTCTTTGCACATGTGTTCTAGTTCAAACTTGGCGCCGAAAACACGGTGCGTACGTGCCGGCGGTGCTGCACAACCTACAAACAACAACAACAAGGGCAACTTTCTTTGTGACGGCGATTGGAGGGTCGTACACACCGAACGAAACAATGAAAAGGGGACGGCGAGAGTGTGTTGGCAACCCGGAAGACGCCGATCGGTCGAAGTGACGAGGTGCGTGACGACGATCTCGTCCACTGCGACGCCACTCCGCGTCGTTTCGTCCGACAATGGACCGCAGACGACGCTACGACCTATTACAGCCAATCCAAAATGGCTGGGGAGGATCACGTGACCCACGATAGGGCGCACGCAGTGTTGGAAGGAAGGACGCTACTCGTAAAACATGAACGCCGCTGTCACAATTGCTCACACATATCAGACAAAAAGAAACGTTGTTCGCGGCAGACAAGATCACTGAATCGTCTGCTTAGTTTGTGTAT